ACTAACTCGACTTCAGTTCTATATTTCGCTCACTCAATGCAAGGGAAGTGATAGCAGTCAGCTGAATCATTTTTCCGCTGTAAGCCTAGCCACTTCGGTGGCTACGATACCGCGTCGTTTGTTGTCCGTCTGTGGTGTCACTCTATCCATGCGACTGCCGAATGAACAGTCATTTCCGTACTCGTGGAGATTCCCTACCACTGTTGCTGCTTTTGTCCTTCAAGCAAATCGTGTATTATCTTTGGTTCTCTTTTAGGCTAGAAGAAAAACATATTGCAGCCTGCAAGTGACATCTACGACACACAACGAAGTCCAATGGCACCCGTGCTGTTTTCGGCGTCCTCAAAGATGCCGCCCGTTTCCAAACGAAGGTAAAGTCGCGGCTGCCATATCTGTCGTCGCTGAGGTATCGCTCGCAAGCTGGCTTTGCTACTCTTGTTGCTGCCACCGCCTTCGCTGTTGCTAAAATGTGTCATTTTTCTATCTTCCATTACCAGAATGAACCAGTGCGGACGACAGCGCCAAACTGAGGTGATAGCGACGCACACAGTGCGTCACTATTGTATAATGCGGTAGATGTGGATCACCTATAACCCGCTTGAATCTGGATTCAAACAGCAAATAGTCCATTTACTCGTGTCCTACTGCAGCGATGCCAACGCTACCAACAACAGCCTCAGCACCGTCGACTGCACAGGCAGCCTCGACAGGTTCAAAATAGCGTCTGTTAGAGTCAGGAGGAAAGCAAGATCTTTGTATGTCTGACTATTTGCGAAAATCGTATTGATGCTGACGACCGCAATTCTGCCCGCCGGCACGGCGATAACAGGGTAACGCGCTCGTAGTCGCAATGATGGCGGCGTTCTGTTTGAAGTCGTTTGCACACCCGGCACCTTGCCTCTACAAAGCCGAACATTTAACTCTAGTCTGTGAACGTTGCAAACGTCAAGGCGACAACGGTAAAAACCGAAAATCGAAAGCGGCGTATGCGGTACGGTTTTGAATTTGTCCTGGCGGATACGCTAGAGAGTCGATCAGATTGAATCGGAGCGTTTCAGATATGTCCGCGGTATTTCTGCGAGGGAGGGGGCACGTCGGAACGATCATTACTGCTGGCAGTGTTTATTTGCGTATGTTTTCTCATTTCTGTGTGTACGCTTATAGATATACGAGATGACGTAGTTTTTGGAAGAGCCATCGATATAAAGTGCTATAGTAAAACCGATCTAAACTGCGTCAGAAGGACATACGAACAACGGAAAGTGTAGGGAGAAGAATTAGGATCATCGCGAACAAGCAGCATTGAATAGGGTGTCGATCTGCAGACCTACTATTTCAAATATATATATATATAGTCGGAGCCCCACCCGTGTTGTAAGATGCAGATCAAGATGTTTCTGACGAAGCACAAACGCGACATGGTACCATGGCGCTGCCGCTGCGCTCGTCCTTAAATAAACATTAAATATTTGATAGGGAATCAAAGAGCAAAAGTCTACGCTTTAGCATTCAGGGCATTGAATGTTATAGGTTTGCCTGCTACTACGAAGACTGCCACTTCAGATAGCAGGCATTTTTCTATGTTGATCACGACATATTGAGGCTGATTTAGGGCTGTGTGAAGTGTGCAGTGAAATGAGCCTTCTGAAAATCTTTGACTTTCACAACCTGCTATTTAGTGAAGTGCTTTCCTGGCCGAGCTGAAGTGACTGAAAGAGCATTTGAGCATATTTACTTTGAAATCTTCGACGCTGATATTTCCATTAGTGAGCTGTTCTGTGCGACATGAGGGGCAGGCTCAGATACACGGGCCCATACGCAAGTCTGCCTTGTCCGTTGTTGAAGAGATCAGCCCAGCAAACGAACTTCTGGGTTATGTCATCTGAACCAGCTATTCGACCTTACCTTGTCTTCACTTCATCCTACTGAACTGTTATCTCGGGCGAATGAGAAAAATATTAACATATCTTCGAAAAGAGTTATATAAACATGTCGATTATGCGGGACATTTCGATAGAGAGTCCTAGAAGGGTCGATCCTTATTTATTTTCGAGGGTACATCGGTGGCAGATGGGTATGATGTTCTGAAATGTTTTTACGAAGTCAATTGTGCAATAGATCGGATGGATAGTTATGGGCTGTCCATGTTGCATCTTGTCAGCATCGGCTCTCTCATCAGTACAATCCGCCTACAAACCTTTGTCACGCCGCGTCAATCCAAACGATTAGTGCGTGCTATTTTTAATAGTTTGGCATACTAGGTGTCAACAGACATATCCACGGTCCGTACCAGTGCGCATCGTAATAATGAAATACAACAGCTCATCGTTGCGTTTCTGGAGAATGCAGTCCGAACATTTCCAAAGAAAGACAAAAACCTGGTTAATGCTCACGCTATTCCGGCTATTGCTGGCAAACTCTTTAGAGGCACTTTCTTTAACAAAAACATCCGCCTTGAGAAACAAGCGGTTGCTAGCAGATTCGCTATAAACGATGCGTAACCGTGCGCAAAGAAGAGTCTCGGGCCTGCTTTGAACCTATTATTACTTTTGTTCCGCAGGTTTCACTCAACTCTACCGCCACTACGGCATGACGCCTACGAATGATATGTGTCCTGCTATAATTATGGTCGCCTGTAGCGCTATTCACAGGTGCACTACAGGCGAAAGTAGGTTTTCCGTCTCGCCCCGTCATTCATTTACGAGTAGTATTGTTACAACGGAATGGGCATATTAAACCATAAGGGTGCTCGTCATAGATCAGCATCGCGGATTCACAGGGATCAACCCAGTGGCGATGTGCAGAAGGGCCAATGCTTGAGACATTCGGTAGGCAACTGAATCACAAACAAATGGGACATCTCACACTTTTTGCCTTGACGGCCTACAGGTTACCCTAAGTCAACCGCCCCTTCCTTTACCGGAACGTCCAACCAGGCCTTGAAAGCCTTTCCAATCGATCTCGCTCCACTCCCCTACACTGGCTGTTTCTTGTATTTACGTATATTTTATCTATAATGACAACAGATCAGATGACAACGACAAGTTGAACCTACGAACCTACCGCGGCCGTTCCCACGTGCGGGGTATGGTGCGTCCATGGGTTCATTCACTGTATCGTAGTATAACAGAAGGCTAGCAACGCTATCGATGTATGTTGGAACATGTTCGTCCATTCAATTAAGTCAGTGCACCTTCGCAACTCTACTGGTCATCTCTCGAGTAAATTACGCTTAAGCAAAAAAGGCGGACCGGTCCTAAGGCTACCTGGCCTTCATGACTATGAGGTGCATGCTCAAGTGGCCAGCATGAATGACTCGCCGCAGGTCTCGTCTCTCGCCAAACACTCGATGTCTGTGTGCAGGGCACAGAGCCTGCCCGCAGAAGCGTGTCGCATCTACGCCCCCATTCAACTTGTGTGGTGGGCCTTGAGCTCAGTCGCTGCCATCCTTCCAAGCTACATTGAATAAAGTACAACACAGCTGTCTGTCTACCTGTTTGTAAATCGGTCGTTTATTGATTGTCGCCTCGCTTCCATTCAACACTACGTCCTGCTGCAACAACTCGTGCACACAAAATTCACTATTGCGATCATGACTAGTTAGTTGTAGTAAGATGTTTTTATTATAGATAGATATATATGACGTCCTCAGTAAGCGAGCAGACACCGCGGAGACCCTGGCGAAGGTGATGCCAAACTGACACCACATCGAAATGCCTCAGTTGGTCAGTGAGGAGGCCACTTCCCAGCTGCTGAAACCGAGAAATCATTTGCGAGCTGAAAAGTTATGTGGCCGGTAGGGTAATGCGTGCTACATTAATAGAATGAAATAGGTAAGTTAGTTACAGTAGCAGTAGCGGCAGCAAAAACATCGGCCGTGGCGTTGGCGGTGGTTGAGCTATTGCCAACGGGGACAAAACCAGGAAATCCGGTTGGGGGTAAGGGGGACAATTGTGTGTAATACGTCACCTAACCCTTGCGTCACAGAGGCGATAATGGGCATTGTTGCAAAGTGAACGCGTTTGTCCCAACGTCGTTGTGGCTTATTGTTACTAATATACTGTTCCTTGTAAGTAGCCCCATCAATTTATGGGATGTCGATATGCAATCTGGGGGTAATTTAGGGTCTTTCTTAACGAAAATGATCATTTGGATTTGCATATGTATTAGCAGGAATAAAGGTATTAAAACATCGCCAAGGTACGCTATTATATCGAGCCACCTGTAATGATGTGCAGCATAGTAGGTGGCAAATTATAAGCGGTCTGAAGGAAGAGCCACTGGCGTGCGACCGAAGTGACACTAACTTGGTATTTTTTACGTATCTTTTTTCACCTTATTTTTTTTGTATGCACACCATCTCAAGCAGTTTTTTTCGAGGTTTTCCGTTCCTCAGAAAAAAGACCAATATGCAGGTTACGGATTAGTTAAGGAGGGCCTGAAGCGGGCTTCAACACGCATCCACAGCTTCCCAACTGCTTCGTGTTTGTTTGCCCTTCGTCGTTAAAAACGCCTGTTCATTTAGTGCATTCCGTTACCTGTAGCATCTCTTATGTCGTCAAATAAAAAAAATCAGGAAATACACCTTTTACATATTCTGCGTCGGTCACATCCATGATTTTCGATTTGCTTGGATCGCTGGTCCAGGTTCCTTAAGAATTGAACCAAAAAATATCCATATATGCTACAACATGTATAGCTGATGAATCAAAGACTCTTTCGTTTTTTTTTAGGATTTTACGGAACACTTCCTTGTTATAGGTAATGGCCAGGACCGCTTGTCATTCATCACTGTGTACCTAATAATCTCAAGTATGTGTGAGCTAGTGCGGCCTCCAATGCGCAATTAGCCCTAATAGGATCGAAACAAACTTTTCCTTTAGAACCAAATCTCAAGGTTATAAACAATGGTTTTATTATATAATCTCAAAGTACGCTTACGTGTGCTATAATTCACATTCTTATTTAGTATATAATAAACCTCGTAAGATAAAGTACATATTTACACTACTTCTAGATTAGGCCATAATCACAACTAACCCTCTCAACATTCATCAATAAATAAGCAAGCAATAAAAGATAAACACTAGCTCTATTTTTTCCATAGAAAATAAATAATTAAAAGTTAATATATATATATATATATATATATATATCATTTACTACATACATACAGCATGCGGTATTGGCCTAATCCGTTAAATAATTTTCACGCTTTAGATATTACCGTTCCTTTGCCAAGCAATAACATTTCGGAATCATATGAGTATAGTACGACCTACATAATTCGTTTACCTTATATATAGCTCACTCTGGGTACTTGGAAGCTTTAAGGCACAATTCACGGTAAATTCCGCGGTACAAATATTGTATTGTACCAGATGCAAACTAGTCCTACCAATTTCCTGTTCCACTGCCGCGTGCTAATATTATAGTTAAATAGTATCTAGGATGTAACATACATGATCAGTAGCCAATTTTCCTATTAACTATGGTTAACTCTCATGCAAAGAAAGGTTACATGCCGCACTCAAAGCCCTTGGTTCACAATAGATAATGTTACAGGATGTTGAACCAGTAATAAAAAAGCTAGCCTATAATCAAGCATTGAGGACTAAGGATCTCCAACGTGGCGCTCGGCCCCACCTCCAGCGACAGGATGCTTCTGAACGGGTCTCGTGAATGCTGATAGATGATGGATAGGTCCTATAACGTCTCGCATGGCGGCATCCGTCGCAGCAGCTGCAGCGGCAAACGGATTCACAATAAGGGATTGCAAATTCGAGGTAGCGGCTTCCTGAGCAGCGGCCTGAGCTGCGCTCAAGTGCATTAATACGTTATTGATCGAGAACGGGTGACTGAGGCTTTTGTCGGCCGGAGCATGACTTTCGATAAATGGCGCTGTAGGCGACGTGGGAGTGGGCGAATCTGCCAAAGACGAATCTGCGCTTCGATGGCCGTTTGAAGATAAAGGCGGCGAAGATGCACGACCAAATGAATGCATTCGCTGATGACGGCGCCACTTCGCTCGTCTGTTCGAGAACCAAACCTGCACGCGCGCTTCAGACAAGCCGGTCTTCGTTGCAAGGCGTTCCCGAGTATCAACGCATGGATAGTGGGTTCTTTCGAATTCCTCTTCTAACATTTCCAGTTGTTCTGTACTGAAGGTTGTCCGATTACGGCGGAACTTGGGACGGTCAGTGTCATCCGATTCACCATTTGATTCGTCTCCGCTAGCTCGATCGCCGCTGTCTGTTAGTGTTTTGAAATGGTTTAGACGATCTGTGTCGTGGTGATTCCCATGAGGTGCCGCTTGTATGAGCGCAGGTGACCAAATATGCGGAGGTGATGGAGCTGAGTCGTTTTTCGGTCCTAAAATCACCGTGTGCATATGCCCCGCTATCTTTACACTAGACTGAGCGTGTGCCAAGGCTCCAAGAGGCATGCCACCAACCCCGCCTCCTAGAGCGCCGGTTCCTCCAACTCCGTACCCTGCCGCGCGAGCGAACTCCGCGGCTGCCCTCTCAGCGGCCCGATTGCGCAGAATGCGGTTAATGGAGCTGACGGAAGGGGCTGTGCTGTTGGTGCAGACATCTGAAATAAGAGACGGAGGGTCGATGGTAAATTTTTTTAACATAAGTTAAAATATTTTCTACTGATAGTCTTAAGCTGAGCTTAGCAATGAAAAAACATGTCAACGATTTAAACTGATTAGTGTTGGTCGAAGGACACAGATCAAAATAGTATTCCTTACTCGACTGTGACGAGCGTGTCAATGTAGAAACGATGAAGAATGTGCCTTATTCATGGCGTCGCCAGTGACAAATCATGAACAAAAAATTCTCCTCTTTATTATTTTGATACAAGTTCGCGGCATAGTTTCGGCATGGCGATATTTCACAGACAGTTATCTTACCGCACCGATAATGAGGTCCTTTCGTCCGTATAGCAAATTTTCATTGTCGCCTGAAAGGCCAAGCCCTCATGGAGGAGACTAATCTAATTAAAGCATTACGTCGTTTCATAGTGTTCAAGTGCGGCAGCTTCTTTTTTTCACACTGAGTCATACTGGGTAAACGACTTCGAGCCGATGAATCGACAAGGTTAACAGAGTTTGTCTGAAGCTACCGAATTAAGTACTGAGATACCCCTCGCGACGCGGGCCTCTCAATACATTGACAGCCAGCTTTTACGCGCTGTGCGTTTTCATACGACTGACAAAATACCTCCGTACGAAGCACGATCTGAATAATGATCCTATGCTCTTCATTTTTAAATGTCAATTTTCTATTCGGGTACCACCTCACAATTACAGCAAAATGGTCTTACTAATGGTACAGCTACCTTTGCTGAGCTGAATTAGTTGACAAAACTTCAAAGGAACAATTCATCTTGCGTTATATTGACAAAGATCTTCATCTAGCTAAACGACTTATAGCTGACAACTTAATCATTAGGCGACATAACTGTATTGCTCTATTTAGAATAAAGCGGAATCAAAATAGTATACCTGACTATTGGCTCAGTACGCAGTTTTGTTGAGATCCAAACAATACAATGTAAAGGTACCGTTTAGGCTTTACACAGATACGCAGGTGAAAATTAGCTATCCTAACTCGGTGTTACCGCGCGTGGCAGCGGAAAAGCCAGCCAGGATCGAGCGGGTTTCATCACCGTCCACGTGATGATCGTGAAGTGGGCAGATCGGTGTTTTACCAATGAATTAGACGTAGATACGGTTAGTGGTAGCACCACTATTACTACTACTACTACTACTACTATTACTACTACTACTGCTACTACTACTACTACTGCTACTACTACTACTACTACTACTACTACTACTACTACTGCTACTACTACTACTACTACTACTACTACTGCTGCTACTACTACTACTACTACTACTACTACTAGTAGTAGTAGTAGTAGTAGTATTTGACCTGTTGCGCCAAGCAGAAATTTACTCAAAGCGTTAAGCCACCTCAACCACTTCTCACCGAAGGGGTGGGGACGACGCCACATCATATATCTCTTAAACGCGTCCTGGACGCTCTGTAGACTTTTCATTTTCTATTTTACTACCCTTGCCACTTTTTTTTTTTGCCGTCGTCGTTATCATAGCGCCATCGTTATAATCAACAACAACACAACATCAGAACGAAAATAACAGCCAGTGTAATAATTCTCCTGCTGACATTGCTGTGAGCTTTCGCAATCCGTCTAAAACAGTGCCTTATTTTTCTGCTCCCTCAGAAAGAAGGGATTTTTTCATTAGTATCATGACTTTTTGTTGGCAATGGTAGCGTTAATGGCGAACCTTTCGTTAATCCATAGGAGCGTCACAGGTCCCTTTGTATTCCGTTCTTCCCGCCGCACCAACCCTCGCTGCTCAGGCTTTTTCATGAGCTAATTGGGAAACGGGCCGACTGGATCATGCGTGGCGTATTTTGATGTGCCGAAGTATCGTGCATATTATAAGTGGATACGTGGTGGCTCGTGATTAGCCCCGCACGCTGCCGGGCAACGAGAGCAAGCAGGGTAGTTGTGACGTTAGCGACAATTGTAATTCAGTATCTTACTTGTGTCGCAAATAGTAGGGAGAAGTGTTCCCTGTAACGCGATGTTAGCCTCAGCTGAAGCGCGCTCCCCTTCTGTATTTACTCCACCGAAGTCGCGAATACCAGAGTTGATATTCGCGCCCAGCTTACTGCTTATAGACAGAGATACTAATATGAAGTTATACGCACGAGCGTACACATGCATACGTACACACTCAAACAACATGGCGATTAACACCCCACTCAGCTGCTGCTCAGCCGATAGACCGCTTTTTTTGTGTGCCTTTCATTTGTCGGCGGCGAAACCGACAGACGTACACAGCCTCACCACCGCACCCGCGCAATTAGCCGAAGACCGCTCGAGAGCAGCAATGCGGCTGCCCAACTGGTCACTACTGGCAACGAAGCGGGCAGACTACTACTCTCTGGCCACGCTAATTCAAGAGCAACCAACTCTGGCTTGACAGCCCAGAAAAACGGCCCCGTGGCCACTCCCCACAGCACTCATAAGCCCCAATAACAATGGGCGCTCTAAGAAACACGAAGAACATTGCGCATCCCTAGATAACAAAAGGCTGGGAATTACCAAACAAGTCAACACCTTTTTGCTGCTGCCAACTATAGAATCGCGTTGGAGCTACGATGCGCGCCTCGTTATCGTTCTAAATAACAAAGAAAAAAACATAGATGCCAACGCGTATGGGCTCAAAACACTATTCCGTGGTCTTCATCTCTCTCTCGTTCCGGCGCTGAAGGTGAGACGAATTTAGAAACTTGCTGAATAAATGGGGATTCTCTAACGCTCTGTGTACATATTTGTATGCGCCAACTATTGTTGCGTCTATAGGCGAAGAGTGGTCTGAAGATAGATAGTTTTTGAACGATAAGGTTGAAACTGGATGACGGTTAACTAGACCGTGGAATCATCGGAAGAATCTTAGATATCTTCAAAAGTCCGTGGTAAACAAAAAAATTATGTGAATGTTTTCATCAAACAACCGAGCGAAGCTGGAGTTCGAAAAGGGTGGACAATTTTGAAAATATCTGAGACTGCCCTCAGAATCTCATAGGTTAGGCTGGTGATTGCAGACAACCTAGTCCGGGCGCCATCGAATAACTATTTACAATAACAAAGAAATTTCCTTGTAGTGTGAAACAGCACGCATTCTATATGTTACATGTCTTCTACGTAGAACAAATGAGGTTCTATAATCTTACAGTATCAGGTACTTTATTAACCTTTTTTTTTTTTAATTCCACCCCATTTGCCCCGTTGATATTCAAAGCCTAACCCAGCGTTGCTTCGACGTATTTTATTTTATTATTTGCTGTGCATAAATAGTGCCAGCTTACACCCTTGGTCAATCCGAGGTAGATAAACTGAGGAGGAAAGCGTGAGCCATATATTGATACACAAAGCCGCGTCGAACGGTATCCGCCACCGACTATGAAGATCCCCATCTGCGTTCAAATTTACTTGACGCTAATGACTGCTTGATGTAATGTCACCATTCTCTGATGATAGCATTCAAGCCTTAGGAATGTTTACGCCGTCTCGAAAAAAAAACATCAAGCAACCTCTCAGTAACGCTTACAAATAGAACGCTGACATTATTGGTAGATGAAGCTTATACCAGTTGATTCTAGCTTATCGTAGTATCTAGTAGTATCGAAGTTTTTCTCAAATTTGGTATCTTGCTGATGAAACTTCGGTGATTAGTTCAATTCACAAGGAAGTTAGCTTCGTGGACTGCAAAAAAGCGCCTATTCTAACTGTTTCAAACAAGACAAGGTCAGAGGAATAATCGTATTAAAGAAAAAAAAAAAAAAAACACGGAAAAGTGATCGTTCCTTCGAGTATCGGTATTTGGAAGTTCTGATCACTGTAAAGAAAATTAGCACTTTACCTATTTTTCTACTATATACCTATTTTGATCACGACACAGTTTAAGAAATTGCTCGCTAGTAACTTCTTTGGTTCACAAGTTAAATTGTCAGTGCGCTAATATATTTATACAATGTTGTTCCTTTGCTTACCATCAGCGATAAGTCGTTCACGGATTTCCCATGCGAATATAGTTGGATTTTCTTTTTTATAGGACTCAATTTTGGCTACTACCTGAGGGGTAGCCACCTTAGGTTTCGACCCACCAATCACGCCCCGATGACTTGCAAGTCCCAGCTGTTGACATTGCGACGAACTTTTGGAGCACTGACTGGACTTCGCGGCATTGCTAACTAATGCCGATTCTGGAACGTCAGATATAAAAAAAAGTATTCATAGTAGTATTCAATGTAAATTAGCGCAGCGTTTGCAAACACGCCGACAAGCGCAACTGATACTCGCGTATAGTAGAAAACATACGTACGAATATAGTCACCAAGGGACACAATCGGGCCCAAATTGTTTCGATCGGAAATTAGACGGAGCTTTCTTGTGCAATCTAGAGAAAATCAGAGATCTAAAAACCCATCAGATACGCAGCTCAGTATATTTCGGCATTAACCATGATAAAGTTGCTCGACCGTTTCCTATAGCAAACTAGCATTTCGTTAATTTCTTGTATCGGAATTATGGTATGCTTTCTGAACTTAGATTTGATCGAACCTTCGATTGATGACTGGCACACCTCAAGCCTCATATTCAGCTTTCGTCGAACATGACACTCCATCTAGTGGTTAAGCGTTTCTATCTGATTCCCCCAATTAACAGAACTTTATAGGTAAAGATAAATGTTTGTATTCGAAGTTCGAATTAGTGAATGCGCGTGTAGTTAGTAGTATAAGTTACATACCGCCAGAGTCGCGTCCCTTTTCTGTCATCAGATGCTGCGGTACTACTCCATTTGTACTATGTTGTGAAGAACGTTGGATAAGACCAGTGAGTTCTGAAGTATAATAATTTCCAGCCAGGCCATCCAACGAACTTGGACCGCCACTTGCGCCCAGGCCCGCAAGTTGCGCCAGATCAATTCCTAACTGTGATGCGACCAAGGGATGCAAGAAACTCCCGGCGAGGCTCGGCCATAATGCGGCCTGAGAACCTGTAAATCAAATAACAGCAAAATAACTTTCAAAACACCTACGATGTCCTTCGCGCAGAGTGTTACAATCTATAATAAGGTGTACACAGCCTTTCTCATTATTTTCAAATACAGCGAGACAGATTAGCGCCAAACGGAATACTGCGCATGTTGATAACGTGTCTTGCCTCAACTGAAGCTCTAAACGATACCAACATTTAGCAATTGCTAGCAAATCGTTACCTGTCAAAAAGTTGACATTCTGAGCTAACTCCCTCAACCAGCTACATCTGGCCGTTGGTTTCATATAGCCATGCCCATGCATAACAGTTCAACTCACAGCCATTGAGTGTCGAAGATTGGCCGAAGCGTTTACTCATTCGTTTGGCGTGTATCAGGGTGACACACATTGCTGAACTAAATACGAAAATTTCTACTAGTATACGGGCTGAGGCCTAGTGACTGGCTGTGAAAGTCAGAGGACGCCTCGATTGCGAGAAATCCGCTAATCGAGTACCTTTCCCGAGCCATATGAACACATAGCTGGACCACTAGAACAATTTATAAAAACAGTATCGATTCGCATGACTCGGTATTCTGTAGCTCTTAATGGGGCGGAGGCAAAGGAAGTGGGTAGTTGTTGGTAGATATAGGGGTAGCAGCGCGACTGCAGCGAAACGTCGGTGGCGATGAATGACAGCAGGTTCTTTTCTCTCTGTGTTATCACGCGCTTCTTGTGCTGTGTCTGGCAGGTTATACCTAACAATGTATGCGACGGCAATGCACACCGTGTGGATACAGAGAACGTTGTGGCGTCTCGTGCCGAGCTCGTGCCGAACTCGTGCTGTTTACTGATGTTTGCTACCGCTAATCATATGGGCACCACATACCTGAGAACGGGCCTGAGAATAGGGTGTAACCTACTTACGTAGCTGCGGCAATAGCTGCATCAGCCTTGAGTAAGTAGCAGCTAACGATCGCGATTGATATATTACGGGTGTACACTCGATGGATCTCACGGCGACTAGCTATATTTACTCAAAATAGAGGCAATACGCGTTGATTCAAGGTACACTTAACCTGTCAGACGGAACTGCGACAGCCCGACACGAGAAGACAGCAAATATCGTCTATTCATCATGACTTAAGGAGGGCTATAACTAGCTATTTTCACGGCGAAAAGACACCCGTGAATTTACCATGGAATTGAATACGTAATAATAGCAGACACACAAGCTCAAGCAGATAATTTTTAAAAATGATTTGGCAACTTACACACAGTTCGAGAGAACCTACGACGTATTTGTACATCAAACTGACACGTTCTGGTTTCCTAGCAAAATTTTCAGATATTCTATCACACATAGTAAAGCTTTACAAACGCCATATGTAACTATGTATAAAACTAGCTATGTAACTCTTTTTATCTCGACAAAAGACATTTTTCGCTTGTTCAAGCTGTACAATTATAGTAATAATTGAGACTGAGGTAAAATGCCATTTCTTTCGCCGTATGACGGTAACGTTGCGTCCTTGCGTGTCACTGTTTCCTTTTTTTTCGTCTACCTAACCAGTATAGAAGCATTAGTGGATACCAACACAGTATCGATCTAAGCAGGCCCATATAGCTTTAAGGATCGAAATTTGTCAGCCTGTCAGCATGGAATATTACTTAATCGTCGAGGTCGCCAACCAAGCCGGCCAAGTAGCCAAGCGCGGGCGTTGCGTGCACCAACAAATTACCTGTTAAGGGAAGCTTTCTTCTTTAGAAAGTGACACAGCGTCGTTTTTATTATCTGCAGCTTGTTGCGTTACTAGCCTGACGCAAAAATAGCGGTCTTCACGAACGAGCGGCAGGATAAATAAATTCTATGCGTCAAAAGGTTTTTGCGCCTGCGCTAACGCTTTGTCCCGTCTCCGTGCTATCTCCGTGTGAATCAAGGGGTGCGGCGCCTTCTTTTAAGGTTTCAGCCTTTTAACAGATACATCCAGACTCAAGATGGACGAAAGCACGACCCCTTAAGGAGCGCGCTTGTCAATGCGCCAGTGAGACCTTGATTACATTTGGTCTGTTCGGCCTTTAGCAGTCCAGTCGCACTAGACCTTCAATCATCGAAATTTTACGTAAACGCCTTTTCCACGGAGCAAATAAGGAATTGGTAAAACACAGAACTCGAGAGTACGATTAAAATATGTACCCGGTGAAATTGTCAATCATGAAAGTTTGTCTCGGTCGCAGGTACATCCTCTCCAATAAGTATAACCACATACAAACTTAGATGAGACATATTTAATATCACCCGGTACCTGTAATGGTTGTATCTCGCTTCACTTTGATGGATGCATTGCCGTAAATGATTATGATAAAGCCAATTTTTGAAATTCATCGACGATATAGTAAATTTAGGTAGCCCGCGTGTCGCTCTTCATCGCTGCTGATTATCGGTTTCGAGGCAATGACTGGCTCGAAATGTTAGAACTCCTAATGGATACCGCTACAAAAGACCACTATAACGAAGACGGACATTGAAAGAGTGGCTCTAAAGTCCGCTAGAACACATGCCTCAATGCGATTAGAGAACGTTGAATTTTAGTACATATTTAATATATCCGTGAAATTACGTAGAACGCACAATAATAATAAATACTAATACAGACGCTCCCTCGCTAAACGTTTTCTTTTGACAAACCTACACCTTTTCCACTGGTAAAAAAACCGGTATCGAACCATAAACGATAACGAACTAGGTTTGTCAAATCTTCTTAGTTGTTGCCATAGCTGCTTCTTCTTCTGTCGACTGATTTCGGTTTTCTCAATCTTTGTCGTTAGGGTCTATGAGTGTAGTCGCGTTAATGATACCGGCGCCATTGTGTGGAGGAGCGACGGGACGGATGATCGATTAGTTGTGGATTGACAAGCGCCCATCGCTTCTTTTCTCCGCCCATTTCTCATTATTATTATTATTATCATCATGCTGCTGTCTTCGTCCTTCTCGCATATATATAAACGTTAGGCACCCTGACCGGTAAGTAGCAGCATGCGGCTGTCTTGTAACAGAGACCCTGTGAAGATACTCAGCGAGCAATAGGCACCTATATCGGAGACAGCAACGGCAGTAAATGCGACGATAACGACTGTGGCAATACAGTTGACAATGGTGGTAATAATCATGGAAACTAACGTGTTGTATTGTTACGGGTTATATGCGTCATCGGTATCGAACGTTGCTCAACACGTGTGGGTTTAACTGGAATAGACGCGGCCTCGAAATCTCCGAGAGAGAAGTTTGCTACAGTTCTCTGTTAAAATCTCACTGTTTCTTGCACGGACATGCTTCTTTCAAGAGAGTGGCCAGTATGCATGACACAGTTCCTTTTGTTCAGATACTACCCGAATGCTATACGGCATAGAAGCGCCGTGTCGAAGTGGACTGCAGCAGACCTCGGATGCGCTGAAACAGTTCTTTGTATCTGGGTGATTTCCCTGAGAAGCTATAGCGGTATGTCGCGTCAGTGGGTCTGGGCTGTGTAATGCGTCATATACGACCATATGAGTAGAATCAACCAATTATAAACTAAATTATATATATGAGATTTTTTTATGCTGCGCATCCTTTTTCAGTTGAACGCCTTGGTTCAGTTTCCGTCTGATGCCATCCATAACCAGGAATGATCTTTTATCGGGACGTACATTTGCTCCGGAGGTAATGGTGTGGATTGGACATGGGATCTGCCGACGACTGCTTGTAGCAGTGCCACCTTTATCAGCATGGAGCTATTCCTGATTTTTATCTCCCAACTTTATCTGAGCATCCTTTTACTTTTTGCGACATCGAATAACTACAAGGACGTTACTTGAACGTATCCTGAATGGAATAGAGGTTTATGTGCGCGTGTGTGTGTGTGTATGTATCTTCACTGCGGCGCGTATTTCGCTCTTGCATCATTAGCTGGGCTCCGCGACTGTCATTGCTAGAACGGGATCAAGTATTCAGCTAAGTTAGATATAGGCACGCATACAGATTCGCGCATCAATGGATGGACAAGCACATAAACCATATCAGTACTTCTACTATTGCCGCAGCGTTGTCACCTGTGCAACAGTGAAGAACATTTTCCTTATCCTCCCTATTGAGGGTAGACGAAGAAGTAATGTATGTGATAGAGCGATGATATGCTTCGACACCAGTGGCCGCATCGTTAACATACGCACACGTCAATACACCGCTAATCATCCCCCGGTAATAGCGATACAAGGGACAGATCATGATTAAGCAGCTCTGGTCAGAGTGAAGCTAAAATGTTCCGTGAGCAACGGTCAAACTCGTGAGCGATTATCGGATACGGCATTAAGGGAGGGTTGTCGCTGTTGAAACCCAGTTAGCTGACAGATCAGCAAGCGAATGATCCGGCGCTGATACTCGGATCGAATCAGACTCTTGGTGTTGCCTGCATCATGGGAAATCCGTGATGACCGGAGAGGCTAGCTAGTACGGACGGCCACAGTCGATCAACTACTTCGACTATAACCAGTTGTAGGCTGTAAACATCGAATGGACATGAAACGTGACTTGTCACGGGTCTAGAAGTTTTTTTTTTCAATCGAGTTATCATTCGCACTAGCAGTTACGTTACCAAACAAGTTACTAATTTAACTTAATGGCATGCCGACTAGTTAGATATTATCTAGTCGGTATGGCATAACCTCTCATGTGACGGAACCAAAATATAGTAATATACAAAGCAGTTGCGGTACTGACCGGACCATACCTTGCAGTTAGCAGATGACTGCAAGATAGATTATATAAACGACTTTAACATTAGATAATAACGTACGGGATCACAAATGCTATTTGGATCAAATGATGCCTAAGGACGTTATTATTATTAACAGTAGAAGGACACGTGCAACCGAGTACCAATATTCAAGCCTGAGCTAGCAGTCGAATATATAAACGGATCCAAAGTATTCACAGTCAGAGTGATGGCTAGCAAAAGCTTGACTCTATCATTCAGATATC